ACAAAAACTTTTATTTTGGATGTGATTAATCGTTTGACAGCACTAATATATATATATATATATATATACATATAATGAAGTTATTATTTAATTTATCTTAATAATTTACACAGACTATTAAGAACATAAATTTCCATTTCCACAAATTCATTATGTGCAGTCTTTTCACTATCAGTGAATTTCTTCACGTCTCATTTGAACTCGTCTTTCTTGAATTGTTAATGTGAACTGTATCTTGTGTTCAGATTTACTCCGGTCAGTTCCTGTCGGAGAAGCACGTGAAAACCGGAGTGGAGGTCGAGCTCATCGGTTTGCCGAAAGACCCCAAGCGCAAATATCGCACCAAATGGAGCACGACACCCAACGCCATCAACCCCGAGTGGAACGAGGAGCCTTTCGTCTTCGAGAAGGTCAGATCCCACGACTCTCGTATCATTCATGACCAGTGTTGGGGAAAGTTACTTTTAAAAGTAATGCATTACAATATTGCGTTACTCCATAAAAAGGGTAACTAATTACATAACTTAGTTACTTTTTATGGAAAGTAATGCGTTACGTTACTTTTGCGTTACTTTTTAAATCTGGACAGGGCTTGTTTGTTTGATTTTAAAATAAAAAAGTTCTATTTTTGGCAAATATAAAAGACTTTTCACACAAAAAGTGAAATGAATAACCCTGAATAAGGGAAAGTAAATTTACGTCCGTACAGTAGAATACAGAAGAAGAAATTTCAACACACTTCAGCAATAAAAAAGACACACAAATGTTTGTCTAGAGTAATTTGTGCTTATTAGTACACTTGAACTGGATCATTGAAGGTCAGAAGCAAAGACATTGGTTAATAGAATGGGGTTAAATACATAAAGCATATTTGTGTTGTTTAACATTTAATTATGGCAGGTTTGCGTCATATTCTGAGTTGCATTATTTTTATTCATTTTGAGGAATACTGAATCTGTATTTTTTTTTTTTGTGAGTGAGATGAATTAATGCATATTCATATCTATTTTAGAACTACAGTTAAAACTCTTTTTGTAGCAGCATTTTTTAAATTTGAACTAGACTACACCACGCTATGTACGAGAAGCTGCAAAAGACACAGGCGCAAGTGGAATGTACAAAACACGGTGACATTAATTTTTTAAGTAAATATAATGAGCGATATATTGCGTTACCAAAAATTATTGAGGTCATGTACACTGTAAAAATAAATTCCATAAAATTTACGGTAAAAAAACGGCAGCTGTGGTTGCCAGAATTTTACTTATAAAAAAATAAGGTAGCAACATTTTAGGTTTTACGGTTTTAACTTAAATTTACAGTTAAATACCGTAATTTCATTAACTGATATAATGTTAATATACCAACCTATTGAAGTACTGAAATCTGTTTTGTACCTTTGTAATACACTGATAACCACCAAAAGCAGGTGGTGATGCAAAGCCCATCACAAGCAGCTTTTATATAATAACATATATAGAAGTGCACAGTGTGTCATTCACACAAACACTAAACACCATCATGGTAACACACATGAAACTGAAATAATGCAATAAACATTCATTTAACAACATTAGGTGTAACACACAACCCTAATATACAAAACTGATAAGAAAAAACTAAGAAGAAACATAGTTATTTCAACAAAAAAACATGAAATTTGAAATGTAATGCAGGGAATTCTGGGAATGTCAATTTACGGTTATTAACTGTAAATTATACAGTCTTTTACACTTCCAAAATCTCTATACTACCGTAAAAGTACATGTAATGTCCAATACAGTTTTTCACTGTATATAGTAGGGGAATTTACCGTTAACCATTTAACAGGTTTTTACTGTAGCATTTTTTTTTTTAGCACTTTTACCGTTAAATTCACGGTAATTTTTTACAGTGTACATATATTGCGTGATAAGTCGATATATTGATTATTGCGACAGACCTAATCTGATTACGTAACTCTCGTTACTTGTAATGCGTTACCCCCAACACTGTTCATGACACACGCGTGTTTGAGCTGCTCAGAGGCTGACGTCTGTGTGATGTTGAGCAGATCTTGCTGCCGGAGATGGCTTACCTCAGACTCGTGGTTCAGGAGGAGGGAGGCAAGTTTTTAGGGCACCGAATCATCCCTCTGGATGCTCTGCAGACAGGTGAGAAGTGCACTTTAGCATGCTTCTATAAATGTACTTATTACGCAAATAATCTACTTTAAAAGAATATACTCATGTGAATTAAATGTAACCTTTTCAAAAACATAAATGCATATAATTTGTAATTGATTTAAATGTATTATAGTTTACATTTATATTAAATGCAACTTAAGAGTGATTTTTTATGACCCACTTAAGTGGGATTTTAATACATGTTTATATGTGCTTTCATAATTGCATCTATTGTGTCTTTTTAAATACGGTTAAAGTGTACTGCATGCAATTAACTAAAATAAACTAAAATATGCTTTCATGTTGATTACATTAACAGTATTATACATTTAAATATATACTGTATGTAAATACCGTTTTTGGTAACATTTTACAATAAGGTTCCATTTATGAACTACATTAGTGAACATAGCAATGAAAAATACTTGTAAAGCATTCATTAATCTCAGTTCATATTAATTTTAACATTTACAAATACATTATTAAAATGCAAAGTTTTATCTATCAATATTAGTTAATGGACCTGAGCTAACATGAACTAACAATGAACAGTTGTACTTTTTTTTTTTTTAATTAATGCTAACAAAGATTAATAAATGCTGTAACAAATGTATTGCACATTGTTAGTTAATATTAGTTAATGCATTAATTAACATTAACCAATGGACCTTATTGTAAAGTATTAACTATTTTTTCTATGAAGTTGCAATTTATTATATTTAAAATCTATTTCAACTAAGAGTTTAAGTAAACAAACTATAATGTATTTTTAATAAGTAGTCTGACTAAAATTAAATGTATTTTAACTGAATTTAAATTAATTTTGTTATAACGATTTTAATGGGTCTTAATTTAGAATTAATTTTCAAAAATTTAAGCTGTGATGCATTTAAATTACCAGTGTAGTTTACAACACTATAAACATTTAAAGGGGTCCTATTATGCTCTTTTTCAAAGTCTTGATTTTGTTTTGGGGGTGTACTAGAACAGGCTCTCATACTAGGTTGTTCGAAATAAAATGACACTGATAACAACTGTTAACAGCTGATAACGATTGACCAAGACAATTGATTTTATTTATAGATGTGCTAGTTTCATATCTCTTGTTTAAATTTGAATCTAATATTTCATGCACATTTATTTACTTATTTGATAAGTAGCCTTGTAATAAGTGTGATAATGTACAATAATTCTGACATTATTGCAAAATAAACTACATATATGAAATGTCTCCGCTTAGAGTCAGGCTCCTGTCTGTCCATAAATTGCCTCATGCATAACTGTGTCATTTACCGCTTTAATAAATGCTAAAAGATGAAAATGAAGCACATCTCACACGGATCTGACTGTAATCTGTTCCAGAGTTTAACATACGTGTGTGAATATGAGTTACCTCTCGCTGACGGCGCGCAGACGGCGGCCACTCCTGCAGCTGCCGCAGGTAAATAACATGCATGTGATGGACATCGCTTATAAAACACTGACATGGTGTGTGTTTCTTTAACAAATCATAGTACGCTATGAAATACCTGACTGTATTTGAATACTAATTTATCAATTTAACTGCACTGATACGATTGGATGAGATCATAACTTTGAATTTTTATATATATTTTTTTAAGTATTTGTATATTGTAAATGTTTTCTGTTTTGATTTTAATTGATTTATTAATTTAATGTTAGTAATTTTAGTGCTTAAACATATTTTATTTCATTTAGTTTGTGTTGTGTGTTTTGTCATTTTTAGTATTTTTTTATTTTATTTTTTTAAGTATTTTTAATTATTTTTTTATTTAGTTTTGGTAATAGTATATTAATAACCCTGATTTGTCAGTGTTATGTTAGTATTATTTATATGCTATTATTTGTATGCTCAAACAGCAACATTACAGACTAACTAATGTTGAAAAAGTGAAAAAGCATAATAGGACCCCTTTAAAGCATGACAAAAACATAATGACTTAAACTGTATGTTTAAGTAAAACACATTATTACAAAGTGCATTTTTAAAAAGTACACTTACGTAAGTATGTTAATGTGATGAAAGTGTACTCTATTTAAGTGGCCTTTGAGTAATATTATCAAGTTTAACAAGTTTGTCAAATGCTGTCATTGTTTGCAGGTTTCCAGCACATCTGTTTGCGCAGCGAGAGCAACATGCCGCTCACGCTGCCGTCTCTGTTCGTGCACATCGAAGTGAAGGACTACATCCCTGCTGCATTCGCCGGTACTGACCTACAAACCTACATTAACCTCCTTTTACTGAATGCAACATCAAATAACCACTCAATGATTGTTTTTCTGTTAGATTTCTCGGATGCACTTTTCAATCCAGTGAAGACTTCAAAGCCTCCAAAGACTGAGGTAGAGTTAAATGCATGCATGTTCAAGTGCTCTTGACAGACATTAGTGCACTACTGAGTGCAATCGGTTTCTTTGGATTGACCTGCAATGTAAAAACATAGAGGGTCTCTTATAAAAATGAGAATATAACTAACTACTAAAACCTTAACTAAAACCATTAAAAAAAAAAAAAACATTAACTGAAACAAAATACAAAAAAACGTATTTTATTTCAGCTAGATGACAAGGCGACATGTTTTTTATTTAGTTTAACTTGATGTAATAAAAACTAAAATTAATAGAACTATATAGACATTATTTAAAGAAAACTAAAACCAATACAAATCCCAAAAACACAATACAAAATTACTAAAACTTTAAATTTAAAATGAAAACAAAATATAAAAATACAAACTAATTCAAAATAATAAATAGTATACTAAGATCTCAATGATACTAAAATAACACCGATAACAACCAGGGCTATTATGGGTTACTAAAATTGCAATTAAAACTAAAACTAAACGATAAAAAAAATGTCATTATTTGAAATAAAAAATATTTATATGCTATTATAGTTTTTATTCATATTTTGAATTAGCTTTTATTTTTATATTTTCACTTTCATTGTTTTATATGCTTTGGCCATTTTTATTTTTAGTATTTTTGTTATGTGCTTTTATCATTTTTATTATTATTATTTTTAATTGAGCTGAATAACAACACTAGTGTCTTCTGTAGAGCTACACCTGAAACAAAATATATTCAAATTCATTGAAATTGTTTCATAATTGATGATTTTTGCACCATTAACACTTTGACTGCTTGGAAACAGTCTATGTTGTATAAAGCGCTGTGACTTGACTTGAACTATATATGAATTTGGTACCAAACATATTAAAGTATCATGGGTTTTGCATCTGATACCATCACTGTACTGACTTGTCATATTTATTTATGTGAAATGGATGATAATTTATATCTGTCTGTATTATAAGAAACGAAGGCTGCAGAAGAAGCTCCAGCAGAGGGCGACGCTGCACCTCCGGCTGAACAGACTCCAGCTCCAGAACCAGCCAAACCAGAGAAAAAACCAGAACCCGAACCAAAACCAGAGGAAAAACCAGAACCTGAAGCCAAACCAGAGGAACAACCAGAACCTGAACCAAAACCAGAGGAAAAACCAGAACCTGAAGCCAAACCAGAGGAACAACCAGAACCTGAACCAAAACCAGAGGAAAAACCAGAACCTGAAGCCAAACCAGAGGAACAACCAGAACCTGAACCAAAACCAGAGGAAAAACCAGAACCTGAAGCCAAACCAGAGGAAAAACCAGAACCCGAAACAAAACCAGAGGAAAACACTGAACCAGAACCAGACCCTGAACCAAAATCAGAAGAAAATTCAGAACCTGCTGCAGCTGCAGATGCTGTCGTCACGGAGACCAAAGAATCCACTGAGGAAACCCCATCTGATCCATCAGGTGATCTGCATGTGTCACATGACTCAGTTTACATGATACATTGTAAAGTCATCACACTGACTCGCTACACTGCTTGTTACATTAGGGTGATCGTTTGGATATTACTGTAGTAACCATCCAAATGCAGCGGATACCTACAACTAAACTAAAAAAATAATAATTGTATGATTATTAAATAGAATATTTATTTTTAATAGTCCATTTTTTAAACAATCCTTTTGTCACACACACACACACACACACACACACAGAAAGACAGACACACACAGACACAGACACACACACACACACAGAAAGACACACACACACACACACACACACACTCGCTCACTCACTCACTCACTCACACACACACATACATACACACACATACACACACACATTTGAATAACTCAGGTATTGTTTTTTGCCATGAAAATAGCCAGATACGCTGGCATGGTATTCTGTTTTCCTCATTTGTAAGTCGCTTTGGATAAAAGCGTCTGCTAAATGACTAAATAAATAAATAAATGGTGTTTACACAAAAATAACATCTGTTATTGGTCATATTCATGTTCACCGGGTTTATTTTCAGATCCCACCACTGTGACCTGTGAAGAACTGCAGCAGCACAAGAACTTCCTGAAAGTCGCCAAGAAACAGGAGAAAGACCTGAAAGACATGGAGAAGAAGTTTCAGAAGAAACGAGAAGAACTGATTCAGAAATACAGCGACCAGTTCAAAGCCTTGAAGAAGAAGAGCACGGGCAAGAAGTAAATGCAGAATGAACACACTCTCTTATAGGCAGTGTTATTTTATACTATTGCAGTATTTTCAAATTCCATATATTTTCTCAATTTAATTACATTTTTAGTAATTTTGTTATGTGCTTTTGTCATTTTTATTTTTTAATTACTATTTAGGTTTAATTTTTTTATTTCAGTTTTAGTTTTTTTCTCTACTGAGAAGCATAAGATAAGACTTTTTCAGATAATATATCTTGCATTAACATTATTTCTCTATTTTAGTTGAAGTTTTAGTAATTTTACGTACGTTTGTCATTTTTATTCGTTTTCGATTTTTAAATATTTCTGTCTTTTTTTTTTCTTCTAATTTTAGTACTTAAACTTATTTTATTTCGTTTAGTTGCCAAGGCGGAATTTCTAATTTTTTTTTTTTTTTAAGTTTAAAGTTTTTCATCTAATACATACTTTTCATTTCAGATTTATTTCAATTAAAGAAAACTATTTTTTAACAATTTCGATTTTAGTAAACAATATACATACTGGTGATTGGCTCTTTCTTATGGAATTCTAAACCTGACAAAATTAGAAATACATAAATAGAATAACTAAATATACAAAGAAATGTAAAAAAAATAAATAAATAAATATACTAAGAAAATAAAAAAATATTTATACTTTTATTTCCTTATGTATATTTTTTTTTTCCCCACATTTATTTATTTTTTCTTTTATTTATACGTTTATTTGTTTCCACTTTTATTTATTTCCACATAAAAGTAGAAATAAATTAATGTGGGGAAAAAAATTAAATATACGTAAGGAAATAAACGTATAAATAATTATTTAAAAAAAATTTATTTTCTTTGTATATTTATCAATATATTTATTTATTTAGTTTTGCTTGTTTACATTTCTTTGTATATTTATTTATTTCTAATTTTGTCAGGTTTGGAATTCCATAGGTTCTGTCCTAGATCAGTGGTGGTCTTCATTAAACTAGCAAAGAAGTCTGGTGTGCATCCACGTTTAGCTCTCTTGAGTCGGGAAACACTTCCGTTGAACTTCAATGTTTCGTGTTTTTGTCCCGTGAGATGTGTGTTGTGTGTTGATCTCTGGTTAAGTGATTGTGTTTGTTCCCATGTGATTGTCCAGGTCTGGAGATGATCCAGGTGATCAGATGAATGAACTCAAGCAGAAGCTGAAGCCGGAGCTCAGGGCGCTGCTGGTGGAGCAACACGATCAAACCAAGAAGAAGAAAGAACAAAACAACACCGAGGTAAAGACACAGATATTATTACTGTACAGTGTAGCTAATGATTGTTTTAAGAGTCACACTGTGAGACTGTGACCTAAATTACACTGTCAGAACTCTTGCAGAGCCTGAACTTCATCACAAAGACAATTCATCAGCCATCGGAGAGAGTGTTTTTGTCGTACAGTCAAAGAAATCCGCAGATTTGGTTTCAGAAATCATCCACATATACACATGGTGTAAATCTGCTAGCAAACATTTTCAAAAAGCACATGAATGTCTCTCTAATCAAAACATGATTGGCATGAAGGGTTTCACTTATGCCAAACAAACACAATATTCACACAGTGATCACAGTTTTTGTTTTACATTATATAATATAAACAGCAATAATAATAGTAATCGTTATTATTATTGTTGTTTTATGAATTCTTTTTTTATTTCAGCCATACTCAGCATTTTAATTAGCCAGTTATTATTATTATTTAATTTAATTTTTTAATGAATTATTAATGAAGAGTTTCAATTAGATTATTATTATTATTATTATATTAATTTTTTTATTTTATTTCAGCCATACTGAGCGTTTCAGTTAGTGAATTGTTATTATTATTATTATTATTATTGTTGTTTTTATTACATTTTTGATTGATTTCAGTCATAATGAGCTTTTAATTAGCCTATTATTTATTTATTTATTTTTACGAATTCTTGTTTGATTGTGGCCATGCTGAGCATTTCAATGAGCCAAACATCTTCTCAGTCCTGCACTGTTCCCGCTGGCCGTGAGCCAGGACTCTCTCAGGTATTGATTAGCCATCAGCACTCCGCTGCTCTGTGCAGTCAGTAGATCTGCATAGATCAGGGGTCAATCATGTCCCGTACTGGAAGAGTAAACCTGACCGGACCCACGAACACCCTCTTACACTCATATTGACCATCTCTGAATGGATCTGTGCTCGGGCTCCGAGAAAAGACAAAAGACTCCTCAGGGCTCGACAATAAGGACTGCCTGGCCGGGCCACTGCTGCATCGTCACGAAAGTTTATCATTTGCACGTGTTTTTAAGCATTCATTTATACAGTGAAGAATATGCAGTGTTATTGTACATTTGATTATTAATTTCTGTACCTGAACACTGTTAGGCTAGTAGTTATCGAAATTGGAATCAAGAATTTTGGCATCATATAAGCTTATTTATTAGAATGCAAGATAACATTTGTCAAAAACAACGATAACAATAACATTCTGTTCTATTTTTTATTCTGAATCACTTTTGAATCAGTTTGAAGACTAGTGAATCGATTCACAAGCTCAGTATTCCATTCTGAACAAAACCACATCTTGGCATAATGTATCCCACAATGCAGTGCACTTATATTCGCTATGATTTAAAACATCCTTGACTTATTATTTGATCAGACTTCCAAAAGTTCAGACATTGTTTTATTGAATATTTATATTTATACTTGGGTGTCAGGCATAAACTTTTATTCAAAGAGACTTGCATTGCATTAAAGTAGGGAAGCTTGTTTCCACCAGGGGATAAATAAAATAAAAATAATTTTTATCTCACGATTCTGTCTTTTTTCTTGCAATTCTGAGACAAACATTCTTTTTTTTTTTTCTCACATAAATCTGACCTTTCCCTCAGAATAATGAGAAAAAAAGTCAAAATTCTGAGTTTACATCTCTAAATTCTGACTTTTTTCCCACCAGAAATAAAAAGTTGCAATAATTTTTTTTTTTTTTTTTTTTTTTTTTGTGGCAGGACCAGTAAAAATGTTGGCAGGGCAAGTAAAAAATGTAACCACTGTCCCGAACAGGCCAGCAGAAAAAATCCTTGGTGTTGAGCCCTGCTCCTGCTTATTTTTAATCAATCATGATCTGGTACTAGTGCTTCTGTGATGTGATGAAACCTCTAACACTAAGTATTAAAGTTAATTGTTTGTGTCACCCAGCAGCATTTGTGCTCCAGACATGAATAATTCCTCAAATCTTGTAAGGGAGACACCTTAGCAACCCCATAACAACACTCCAAAAAGCACTCTGGAAAAAAACAAGCAACCGCAGAGCAATGCTCTAAAACACTCAGAGCAACATAGCAACCAAACAGCAACACTCTAAAACACTCAAATTAACCTAACAACCGCATAGCAACACTCTAAAACACTCAGAACAACACAGAAACCGCATAGTAACACTCAAAAACACTCAAAATAACCTAGCAACCACATAGCAACACTCGAAAACACTCAAAATAACCTAGCAACCACATAGCAACACTCAAAATAACCTAGCAACCACATAACAACACTCAGAACAACACAGAAACCGCATAGCAACACTCACAATAACCTAGCAACCACATAGCAACACTCAAAAACACTAAAAATAACCTAGCAACCGCATAACAACACTCTAAAACACTCAGAACAACACAGAAACCTCACAGCAACACTATAAAACACTCAAAATAACCTAGCAACCATATAGCAACACTCTAAAAACAAGTGATCAGATGCATAATTTTCACCTGTTGGACCATAAAGTAGCTGCTAGATATTTCTTTCTTGGAAGTGGCAGGAAGTGCTTGTATTCATTTCCTCTGTATGGCAGCGCAGCATATCTCAGCGCGGCTCCGAGGGCCAGCTGGTGCGTTCTGTTCTGATATGTGTAAGTGACACTTCCTGTGTTCTCTCCTGTATTTCCTGTGTGACAGCGTTTGACCAAACTCCTGGAAATGGCCACCGAGAAGCACTGCAGTGAGGTCAAGGCACTCAACAGGTGTGTGTGTGTCTGTGTGTCTGTGTGTGTGTGTGTGTGTGTGTGTGTGTGTGTGTGTGTGTGTGTGTGTGTGTGTGTCTGTGTGTGTGTGTCTGTCTGTGTGTGTGTTTCAGTTCACGTGAACTTTGAAATAAGAGAAATACAAAGGAAAATGCAAGAAAGAACGAGCGTAAGATGAATCCTTAAGTGCTGCAAGCTTTGAGTGCTTTAATTCAGCTAATGCATCAGAGAGCTGCAGTGTGTGAGTGTGTTTTGTCTTGGGATTTATAATGAGGTTTCACGTCTAACAAAACCAGGGGCCGATGACCTTTTCTACATGGAGTGCAGTTTGTTTGTTAATTATTATTGTTCGGAGAGCAAAAGCAGAGTAAATGAGTGCCGTGAGCGTGAGTAGGACCCCATGAGCTCAACCCCGTAATGACATTAAACAGCTCGTATGAGGAATGACTGCTGTATGAGATCATCTGGCTTGATGGGATTTAAATATATTAAAATTAACAACTAAATAAATTAAAAGGTATATAACATTCATGATATCTCTCACCCTCACAATCTGTTTTTTCTTTTTCAGTGAGCCCAAGAAGAAAGACAAGTAAGATTTTTTTTTGTTTTTGAATTTTACACAAAAATGTAAAAATAAAATAATTTTAAATTGATCAAAATGAAACACTTACTAATAATTAAGTCATAAATATGTAAAATTAAATTAAATATCCGATGTTCACCAAAGCTGAAAATGTTTTAATTAAAATGTAAAATTAAAATAAATAATTTTAAATCAATCTGAAAGAAACATTTAGTAATAATAAATTAAATCATAAATATGTCAAATTAAATCAGTCAAAATAAAACACTTACTAATAATTAAATCATAAAACTTTAAAATTACAATCGATTAATAAATAATTTAAAGAAACAAGTTGAAAGACGTTTTTGAAAGACGTCTCTCTAAGATCAAAAATACAGTAAAAACAGTAATATTGTGAAATATTATTACAATTTAAAATAATTGTTTTCTATTGTAATATATTGTAAAATGGTATTTATTTCTGTGACCAAAGCTGAGTTTTCAGCATCATTACTCCAGTCTTCAGTGTCACATGATCTTCAGAAATCATTCTAATATGCTATAAAAGCATTAATTTCTTTCAAACATTTTTTTAGCTTTATTAAACCTCATTCATGTTACATTTAACTTGATTATTCTTGTTTTAACGCACAAATCCTCATGTTTCTGTGTTTCAGAATGAAGAAATGCAAAAGTACGGAGCAGCTTGACAATGATAACGCTCAGGTAAAGCACCACACGAACACAGATCGAGTGATTGAGCGTGTCGAACACAAAAGGAAAAATAGACGGACTGCAGTTGAATGAGAAGTGCAATTGAGACCAGCGCCGTAACCATGACGACAGTCGGACACAAAGCCATGGTTTGGGTTGAGTTTTAACAAACGCTGACTAACATGTGCTCTCTCTCTCTCTCTCTCTCTCTCTCTCTCTCTCTCTGTCTCTGTCTCTCTCTCTC